AAAAAAGTCTATTAATCGGCATTTGACTTCTGACTTCAAAATACCATGACCTGACCCCATGTCATTCCCTACCTTTATGTCTGTCTGCCTCTTTTACATCTGTGAATCGCTCTTCTGTTTCCCACCCCTCGACTTTCTGCTACTTTGATGAACCTTCCCTCTGTGAAGCCCGAAGTCAGCTAAATGGCTAATGATAGCTATCAAAACGCCTGCCATTTGAAATAAATAAATATATTATCTGAACTTTTCCATTTCGGTCGGCCATTCCTCTGGGTGACTATACATCGACAGGCACCGAACCAGAGTACTTGGTAACCTGCACTACCGGCATACTACGACAGATTGATTTTGTTCGTTACAAAATGACTGTATAGTTTACCTTCTTGCAAGTGCAATGAAATGACTCAATCTAATCATGAAGTTTGGAAATTATTCAATCACTGCGCCTTCTAAACGGCCATAATCGCGGAATAAGACTATAAAACAAAAAGTCAAAGATTCAAAAGAAAGAAATCTCAAATATATAAATAAAGCACAGAAAAAACAACAGCCAAAATCAATAGTGGGGGGGGGGGGAAGAGATGGAGGAGGAGTCTTAGTCCGTTTGTTCCAAGACAGGAAAGGCAAGAATAGACTTCCGAAGGTAAGAGAAGTCGGGTAGTTGCTTCAGCACGTTAGACACGTTCTCCGGAATTTCATTTGTCGAGGTGTTTGTGATCGGAATCTTGGAGAGGAAGGATGTGGGTAAGGAGGGGGCAGGGTTTTGAATTACTGACGGAGGTGGGATAACAGAATGAAGGAATTCGGCTTCAAGATCTATAAAGGAAGCAAAGAGAATTAGATGTTGGATGTAGGGGGAATATATAAATCAATTCTCAGTGTTTCATTCACCAAATATGTTCCACAGTAAATCAAATAAGACCTTTTATAAAACTCGACTAGTAATTATCACAGAATAAAGACATATTCGAGTATAGAATCATTTGAAAATACTCCAATGAATCATGTTGCTGCAGAGTCATATGAAAAAATGCCAAAATGAATTTTCAATTAAATGAGGAAGATGAATTTGTTTAAGAAAGAAATAAATCACGAGTTGGCAAAAGAGTGTAAATAGGAAGGTGAATGAATAAATGGACAGAATTTAACTATGTTAAATTAAAATATGGGCAGATTTGATAAAAAATCAAAAAATTATTTTAAATCGCGAGGTCGTATGGAAAAATACCGATTTTTTAATTAAGCATAAGTAATCTTCAAGACCACTTGTAGGCTAACGATTGGCCAGGATAATAATCAGCTTCAAGACTCACATTCTTAATCACCCCACTAGACAAACTATCCTAACTCTCTTCAAATTATTAACGATGATTTTGGACTTCCTCGTGCGAGTGAAAAATAAGGGTGCACAACACGCGGAAAAGTAAATGCATCAAAAACTGACCTGCAATAGGACCAGTAGGTTTGGTGGTTGAGGGTTTGGATAGCAATTCCTCAAACAACTCCAAATCCGCATCTGAGGCCGACTTGATTATGCTTTCTAGAAATAAATATAACAATGTAAAAGAATTAGGAATTAAGATAAGATTAAGCGCGTGAATAAGTAAAGATAACGCGTTGTATTTTCAGTGCACACATCCATAAACCGTCATTGTTTATTACGCCAATATTACCTACTAGCTACACACGAAAATATATTCAACAGGCTCCCGTCATCACAAACTAATGACCCACCTTAATTGCGGAATCCAAAGAAAAATCAAAGTTCATTCAACTATTACTAAAAATAGGCACAAACATCATGATAAGTGAACCATCATTGTAAAATGTTACGATATGACTGAGATGGACCAGCATGTTTACAGTTTGAGCCGGTCTAACGTTTGCTTCACTTCCAAAGTTAACGCAATAAATTAACTTATTTTACATGTGAACGCTTGATTCAACCTTTTTAAGGTTAACATAACTAAGGTCAACAAGAACAAAGGCCTCCATCACAGACACATTAGTTTCTGCAGTTTCTTTCTATTAACAAGTATAGAGTGGTTGAGATGAAGGAGGTAACGTAGGAATATAAAGAAGGGTAAACGAATTTTGCTCCGTTGTTTGCAAGTAGTAAATACAGAGTATTACATGACCCAGTGCGGGCGCTCAACATCACTTCCATTATGACAGAGGATCACGTGGAAACTTATTCCTGTAAAAGCAATATCGGCACTAGCATTGCAGAGTGGTGTTAGCGTGTTCATCCGTGAATTAAGGGCTCATGAATGTGGTGCCCAAACGTGTACAGACTAATTAGGGTAAACCTATGAAGTGACAGAATTCGGATTTCCCACCAAGGCAACCCTAAGGTGCTACTCTTCTAATCAAGATTAGCACAAAAAACGTTTTTTGAGTAGGTTTAGAGATTACTCAGCATTTCCAGAAAAAAACACTAATCAATAGTCAATATCTCATATAACTTTATACATTTAACACTGTAAGTTAATTAAAAAGTACACTCTCTCGCAAAATAGTTTGTTCATATGACTCAAAATAGATCAAACTAAACTGATACCTTTCCATTGAGCAAAACTTTATTGATACAGATCTAGACAACATCTTTAACATCGATCTATGGTCCAATTACGATATCTTTGCATTCATAACAGTTCGTGTGTGAGTCCCTTAGAAGTGCCGCCTATTAGGCCACTAGTGTTGGATTTAAATACTCAAGTAAAATACAATAATAAATCCCAAGCATTCACAGCATTTTTAGCGAATCCCAAACTTGTGGATATTGAATCTTGTTTAAGAGCAAGGCCAGGGAGTCAAAAACACTGCTTCATTCAATTATTATCCGAGAAAAGTTTAATTAACAATTAATCGTTAGTTGATTAGATGTTAAAGATTGCTGGGCCGTTAAATTGTTTAATTTTGAAGTAAAAACTAGCGTTGAGACACTCAAATGCTTTTAATGACTTGAGGCTATACTGCGAGGCCTAACACAGTTTATAGCGAAATTGCTTGCTTTTACAGAGCAGTTCACCGGCTCATACATCAAAATTAAGACTATATAATTTATTACCTTGATTTTTGAGTAAATTTTATTCATGATGCTCATTAATAATGGAGATGGCCATCTCGTACTGTTAGGAGGACTTGTACAATTTTAGCACAGAAGAACGCGAGTACTCTTGACTCAACTTCAAATTATTAACATAATAACAGCTCACCTCCAGTGAAAAGATCAGAAGAGGGTCCATTTGCCAACCGATAGGATTCAGAAGAGGGAGACTCTGTTGATTGTGTGGTTTTGGAAGGCGTCGGACACGATGGTGTCACATTATGATCAATTGGAGTGGGCTCAAGCAATTTGATTTGGTTAGAAATGACGGGATGCTGCAAAAAAATAGTGTGTGAATTCATTTTAATAATAGGGAAAATGCCTTGAGAATTTCGGAACTTAAGTTGTGAATTATAAATTTAACCCATCTCAGTGACTAGCATTCCAAAAGAAAGCACCCGTTTCGTGGCTTTCATTTGCATAGGTTTCAACGTCCCAGTAGCGTCGTATCTTAGATAGACAGGAATTGCAATCGAATGCAATCAATAAACTCACGAAAAATCTGTTCTTGCGCTCATTTGAATACCGCGGCAAGAAAGCGGTGTGATTGCGAAAATAACGTGGGGTGCGTTACTACCTAGGTAAGGAACATAGTGAAGAAAAGTGCACGAATTCTAGAAGCCGCGCGAAGGATAGTAGTGGAGGCCAGGAACCATGAAATGTACAGAGGAAGAGGGATAACGACAATACCCTAACTTAGTAAAAAGACGTGAAAATTAATGAAGCTAAGTATACGGATCACCATTTTGGACCACCCAGGTTCATCGTATGTCTTTTCGTTTAGGTCAGCAAGGTAGCGAGCCTACTTCCAATTCTCTAATATTAGCGCGTTTGGTGGCTTATAATAGCATGATAGGATTGGTGCATTGAATAACTATAGAGGGTATATTTGTGGAAAGAACGATCTGTATTTACCGACGAATTTAAAAATTTCATCACTACTGTAAAAGCGAAAATGAAAGCATCCAATTTGACAAATAAATTCTTCTTGATGATATTCGGCGTTATGGGGTGCGCAATAGACTTACCTCCACGTGGTGCACCCTGGGCAACGTATACCCATACGGCAAAAAAGTCTATTAACTGGCAGTTAACTTCTCACTTCAAACTACCATCACCCCACTCTATGTCATATTCCACTACTTCCACAGTACTCATCTTGCCTTTGTATGCCTTGGTGTCTGTCAATCTGTTTCTTTTACCTCTGTAAATTCTTATTCTGTTTCCCATATCGAATTTTTATCACTTTGACGTTCCTTCTCCTCTCTGTGAAGCCCCAAAGTCAGCTCTAGGGCTAATGATAACTATCAAAACGCCTGCCATTTAATATAAACAAATAAATATTCGGCGTTATTATTCTTTGCATAATGTTTGATTATGAAAATATTTTTACGTCCAATTGGAATAACTTTGAGCATAAAACAGAGCCTTATGGCAACTGAGTATCGCTGAATGTTCCTCTTCTCCTCTACTACGAATTTAATTGGGGGACATTTTGGGATCTTTGCTAGAATTGCGTCACTCAGAGTCCAATAAAATGGCCATATCCAGCAAAGAAAATATAGGCATGTCAACAAGAAAATCCCATTTAGATATGTCAGGCTTGTAAAGATGCAAAGTAGTGTGGCTAAGGGCAATTATGTGTAGATGGATTAACCTACGGTGCTTTGATTGTCCACCCCGATTGCCTCCAGGTACATCGAGTAAGTGTATGAGGTATTCCAAACCTGCTGGGTGGCAAACGAGAGGGGATGATTTGACACCGAGGTCAATAGACTGAAAATAAGGAGAAATAGATGTGGTCAGATTACTTACGTATAACAAAAAGAGACGTTTAAATGCTCATGACATTAGAAAAAAGCAAAACAACGTAACAATGCAAAGAAAGGATTAAATATTAAACTAAATTTCATAGACAGGGTTGCGAATGGCTTTCGGAAGCTAGAAATGAAGAGGAATTTGGTTCCCGAGAGCTCATACCTTCCTATCCTTTGAATGATAGTCAAAACAGCCATGATTCCTTTCGATTCTCATTCACTAAAAATTAAAATTTCTGCGGAAAGATACGAAGATTTCTGTTAAATGACATACTCAAATGACCCTATATGAAAAGCTTAAGAATACAATTTAACAAAGAACAGTGGATAGGGAACATATGAGTGAGGGAAGCTGATTAAGTTATCGTAATTCAGGCGATCTGAGAGAAGATTATGTGGGAAAATACGACAGAAAGATCAGTGGAAGAGCGAATGGGAGAGGTACAATTAGAATCCAGAAGTACATAACCCAGGTTACTGGATGGAAATTCTAGAGAAAGCTAAAGCAGTTGCAACGGAAGTGATTACATTTAAACACGAGTGGCCATGGACATAGAGGTGCTATCGTTTCTTCCATCCCCTCACCCATCCCCCCCCCTTCCACCCACACTCGAATAATACAAACGATTCATCTTTGTTTTGTGATAATCAACTGAAATCAGCTATCGGAAAGTCACCTTAATCATAGGGAGGAGAGCGCGGAATGATTCTGAGAGCAAAATTCAAGGGTTTGATTTGTGAAAGTGAATTATAAAAGATTCACTTCGTAATTCGTCCACAAGATTGTGGCAAATGCTTTTCTGGGTCAGACTTGCTGATTCAATCCATTTTATCAAATAGCAATCAACTGCCTACAGTTGAAATCTAGCAGAGACGAGGTAGCTTAGCCCTTTAAGTTCGTATATAAGTACCGACCTACACATAAGTAACAAAAAACCGCTCAGATGACCCTTGGCTAATAAGGTATTAACATTAATTACATCGTCCATTTAAAAGATCGCGAAATTTCAAAAGAGCATACAAGCAAAGAAAGATGAATATTATTTTAAAAGCTCACCTTTCAGCTGTCTCAGAGCAACCGTTGCACCAGAGCCTTGCTAAAAAGCCAGAATCCTTCGGAGAAGTGAAAGGATTTTGAGAAGGAATAAATGTCCCCAAACCAGCCTGTTTATCAGTGGAAAAAGTCATATCCAACGCCGATCCTATATGACTTAAGATGTTTTTCTGTAAAAAAATGCACAAATGTGGTAAATGACTAGTTTTTAGAAAAAAACAAATCGAAGGATAGCTCAATCATGAATTAAAAGCTAAACTCAGTTTAGATTGCATTTAACAATTGAATAGAACAGAAAGTATCTCGAAGTCATGCCACTCTTCACGCTGACCGAAATAGCATCGACGAATGAAGAGCTTGCGAAAAAGGATTTGACATCAATGAGTCATCGGCTTACAACTGTGCGACCAACAAAACGCTCAATGGAGTACAAACTCACAACACCTTTCAAGCACAACTAGGAAGGCATATTCACAACTCGAATTGGAGAGGGAAATGCCACTATGGAAGAACTCTAATTCCAGTAGGCAGGCAACCAGAGCCGATCGCCATACCGATGGAAATCAAACTAGACATTTTCTACTACATAGAAGAACACGTCAGTCATTATGCTAACAATACATAACTAACTATGTACTAAAAGCCTCACTATTCAAATGAATATCAACTTTGGAATTTTATTTTCAACCCTATGTAAATTAAAAGCGAGGCTAATCTAAAAATCCTGAGATTCCAAATGATTGCTAGGAAAACTGATAAGGTGAAGCGACAGATAGCCATCATTGAACAAAGAAGACTCAAGAGAAAAACTCAAATGTCAAACAATCTAGTTTAGTAAACAAGGAAATTCTTAAAGATAAAATAAAACTCACGATGAAGCTATTAGTTTCGGGAGGACGAGAAGGGGGAGGAGTGAGTTCAGCATTTTGAAATGTGGAAAAATCTGCAAAATCATTCTTCTCCGATTCATCATCAGAGGATTTGATAATTCCTTGAGGCTCAGCCGATTTAAATCCAGAGAAATTTTGAAAATCGTCGGCGTCGTAACAGCTTTCCTTCTCAACCGCATCATGTACAGTTACAGCGCTTGAAATGTTATCAACAAAATTTTTCTGAATGTTTTGTACAGAGCAAACGAAATTCTCATCCTGTTTCCTTTCGTTATGCGCCACAAAATTCCCAAAATCATCCACATTAACGATGTCCTGTGCGCATGGCCGCGTTAGAAATGAAGTGTCCAAGTTCGCAGTTACAGAAATACTATCCTGTTTGTCGCTTTCCGAATATTCCAATATTTCACCCTTCCCTTTTCTCTCGTGTGTAGCAAAATCTTCGAAATCTTCATCTTTTTCGGTTTCCTGTACATAAGGTAACTGAAAGACTGTATTTAAAATCTCCTCATGTTCATCAAAATCAGTACTATCATCAGTAGAAATATAGGAATTTGCTTTTGTTAAGACATTATATTGGCAATCGGTGTTTGCTTTCTGGGCACAATCAGCATAAGGTTCTTTATCGTAAAGGATAACACAATTTCGGACATCAGACAATAGCTTATTAGGGCATTCAAATTCCCCATCAACTTCTTCACATTTTATATTAATTTCGATATTTTCCATAACTTCCACTGGATTGGCACGGTTTCCTATTTCTTGCGAAACAAGCGAATCATGGGTACTATCATTTATTTTGCTAACGTGAAAAACACAATCTTCCAACGAATTCAAAGAATCGAACGGCAATAGTTTGTTTCTACCTCCATTCTCAGAACGGTAATAGTTCCCTTTGGAGCTGATAGGCTCATTGACCAATGCTTCAGTAGTATGACCTTCATCATTTGAACACAAATGTAGACCATTTGTTAATTTTAAGCACAAAATATTTGAGGACTGAAATTCATTGGTAGCTCCCAAATCATTTGATATATTAGCATCTGCATTGTGGACAGGAGAGAATCCAGAAACTTCAGACATTCCGTCTGCGTTGTCCGTATTCTTTCCAAGTATTGGGAGTGGCTAACACAAGTTAACCGCCTGCTTTAAGATGGTATAAACAAAAATGACGCAAATATTTGCTTGATGATTCTTATTAGCATTCTCGTCATTTTAAATTTACTTCAGCAGAATGCAAAAAATTAATTCGGGATTCAGTTGTTCATTAACAAATCTTTTAACAATTTGTAAATTATATAATATTTGGTTATTTCCTAGGTTAATTGGAATGGTCCAATAACCTCAATATGACAGAAGACATTTCAAGTTCTTCTCTTTATCCTAAACCTTGGGTTATTTTCATTTTCTATATAACAGAGTCCTTGGATGTCACAGCTATAACAGATTGCAAAATCAATTAAATGTAACGAATTGAGATAAGAGTTTACAATTATCATAAGAACATAAACGCCCAGGTTCATGTTCTCATAATTTCTGAATCGCACGTTAAAACACAGGCAGTTGCCTTATAGATTGCATGTTAGTACTCTGAGCGCTATCGCATATATATTGTTTATGTTCATAATAGACAATGACTCACTTCATATTATAGTCTTAAAGTTATTCATTCCATAAACAAAAGATGCCCTCAATCTCTGCGAAAAAATCGAGCTTCATGGATTATTCTTTTAGGATTTTTTCAACGTAAAAATTTTATTAAATAAGCTTAATAAAAACTGTGAATTCAATAAAACATAATTAATGAAAAGAATTTCTATATTTGAATTAGTGACTTATTCGGAATGGGAAAATCAAATTCTCAATTGAGTGTCTCTCTGCAGTGAAAAATCGAAAAAACATATTCAAGAATGCTTTCACATTCCTAGTGTTGCGTTTATCAATGTGAATCCTGGCTTTTTATTGATCAAAATGGATTTAGCGCCAGTCCGTTTAAGACGGAAAGCTACATTAGTACCTATATAGTATGTTTTTGTGTCAGTTAATAATACGAACGACAAATTGTTCTTGATCACATTGATCGATTTATTTAAAGAGTCGTTTTCAATTCAATATGCAGAGATATAGTTTAATCGAATAGGAGGCGAATTGAAGGGGAGACAAAATAGTGATTCAAAGATGTAAGAGAAACGATATGAAGGTGGAGAAAATGTAAGCACTGAGGAAGTGGTCGGTTATGACAAACTGTGTGGTCATAGTAGTCATTGTAGTAGTTAATAGACTTTTTACTATATGAGTACACAGTTTCCAGGGTGCACCACGTGAAGGTAAGTCTTTGGCGCGTCATTATGTGGTAATATGATCAGATTTTATCGTAAATTCAAAGGAATATACGACAGTGCGACAAAAAGCGACTTCGTTATATGGGCATGCACAACGAATTTGAATATTGTGCTTCTATATGGAATAGTTGTAGGTTATTTAGGTTATTCCTAAGATAAGTTAACGAACCACCGAACTGTAAAACCATCAAATGATCAATGCATTTTTGTATAAAGGCTGATTTAAATGGACTCTGAATTGCAGAAAATAATTAAACTGACCAAACTCATTAAATTCTAATATAATAGACATCTACAAACAACAGCAAACAACTGCTTCAAAAAATAACACAAGGTGTTGCGGGATCTGAATTTCCTTGACAAATATACTAATTTATTTATTTCAAATGGCAGGCATTTTGATAGCTATCATTAGCCCTTTAGTTGACTTCGGGCTTCACAGAGGGAAGAGTCATCAAAGTAGCAGAAAGTCGAGGAAGGGGAGCAGAAGAGCGATTCACAATGTAAAAGAGGCAGACAGACACAAAGGTAGAGAAAAAGGCAAGATGAGTGTTGTTGAAGGGGTTGAATATGAAATGCAGTGGGGTCTTAGTAGTTTAAAGTCAGAAGTCAGCTGCCGATTAATAGACTTTTTTGCCGTATGAGTATACGTTGCCCAGGGTGCACCACGTGGAGGTAAGTCTATCGCACACCCCTCCTTGACAAATATTGGACGCTCATAAAAGTGACTGAATTTGGTATTAATTAATTTTGCATTAAAACTTTAGAATGGGTCAAAGAAAACATTTTTGCATGATATATAATAAATATGCATTAAATGAGTAAAATATATATAGACAAATTGTTATTTATTCCTGATCTTTCAGGAAAGATTCATTATATATCGTTCGTTATTAGAGCCCTTATTATTAAATATTAAACAAATCGTTAATATAGATTTTGGATTGCTGCTCAAAATCGATATAAAAATTCGTAGTTCAAAAATGAAAACAACCGTCAACTAAAGCTTAAGCATTTTTAATGTTGCATCACGAAGCATTTAAACATCTGGTCATTGTTCAGATGCAGAATTCAAAAAATTAAATTAAGAGCATATTTATCAATATTTTAAAGTGAAAGCTGTAGTTCAACTGAAATATTTGAATAAAATGATATAACATAAATATGTTTAATGCTTTCGATTTAATCTTAAAATATAGGTCATCTACATATTGCTTTTTCAAATTTGGTCTCCTGGTTGTGTCAGTTATCTTCTTATATATGCAAAAATTTAAAATGTATTTTACCTAATAACTACTTATTTTAATTCTCTATTTCAGGTAAAATGGGTAGGCTTAAATGTTTTTAATTCTGATGGAGCATTAATGTTTTTAAACTGACTTACTTAAATGCATATCTAATTTATTGAATTGATTTCGTCCACAGGCAATCATGAAAAACAGGATGGCAGCATGGCCACCGGAAGATCACGAAGCATTTTTTCTGGTATCATTCAATCGTTCAACTCAAAGTTGAAGTTTTCAAACAATTCTGATGTAATTTCTTATTTGTCCGATACATAATCAATTATCATGTTCTTCTAAGTGTTCAAATTTCTTTTAGTTGGTTGGTCTTGACGAAAATGCGGTTCCGAACAGACGCTCACCTTTGGTAAAATTGCATTGATTTTACTTAAATACTTTTATCTACAAATATAATGTCAATTTGTTTATAGATTTATTCACAAATCGTTCCCCTTGAACGAAGCTTGTTGAAATTTGCCGCTTCGGAATCTGGTACAACTGGTGTTGGTACTGTCTTAGTCATCAACACTGGTGGAGCCATCGGAATGCAGAAGGTTGAGGACGTCTATAGACCCAAACAGCACTTTTTGACAAAATATCTTATTCAAATGCCTATCTTCAATGACTTAAAGTAAGTTTATAGACAAGTTTTGTTTATAATTTGTAGGACATGGGAAAAAACTTATGTCTTTTTTTGAAAGTCCAACAATATCTCTACTAAACATGGTTATAAAACTTACCCAAGCTAACACTAAGTAAAAATATCAAAATATGATAAGTCTGGTATAAATCTTGTGCTACTGAGAATCCATCTTGATTTCTGATATAATTAACGAAGTAAGATAGAGAAGTAGAAGTAGCTCTATGCACAATAATATTTATTGCGTCATGTAATTATATGCAATGGAGATTTGTTTTCTAATTCATGGGGTCGTTTGCAATACAGTTAATATTGCTACAGACTTGATGTTGTTTATATGGCATTCCATAACTCTGTTTAATTAAAGTTAAAAAATTTCAACCCCAAATTAGTTGAAGGATAAATCCAAACTTTCCATCATGATTTGGTTTGTCTTTAGTCAGTTAAAATAAACAATTAATTTTTATTCAATCCATTCAATGCGCAGTTTGAACATATGTCACTTAATAACTTAACAGTATTGCTTATATAAAATTAAAGTAACTACTTTATGAGTTTGACAAAATTGGTCTTAGAACTCGTTCTACAAAAAAATCAAGCTTTTACTGACTTACAGAATAAAGTGCTTTTTTCGTAAAAGACTGAGAAGACTATAAGTTAAGTATGATCGTGTGTGTATAGTGAGCAACCCGAAGTGAATGAGAGAGCAAAGGATAAACAAGTACGAGGCAAACTTGGGAATCAAAAGAGAAGAAAAAGGCAATTCTAGATAAGGATTATGATGAATGGGGACTTTTGAGATAGGACAAAGGGAGTTTATAGATTACGAGTCCTTTCGAAGGTTCTGAAACTAAAAATAATCAACTGAAATTTGAGACAGACAGGGGAGTCAGCATGTACGTATGCTTCGGGGGGGATTCTGTATGATACTCGTTTGCTTTGAAAAATATTAATTAATCGAACGCTAACTATTGTTTATGCATAAAACTTTGAAATCAATATATCTAAACCAAGAGTAGGGGACATATATCAACGCCCGCATATCTGAATGGTCGACTTAATTGACTGCATCAGCAGAAAAGAAAAAAATGTATTACATGATTTAATCATGGGGTCTAAAATAGAGAAAGAGTTAGTAAACCTAGAAATAGAGAAGAGGTTAAGTAGGAACAGGGTATGAGGAGAATGCACAGCGTTTTTTGTAATTTAGGAGTTTCGAGGTAACTGTGCCCTCACAGGGTTTAGTTTGGGAATGTTCAGTTGTCATGGTCTGACTACCGATTGTGTGGTTGAGAATATGTCCTTAATGCTTAGAGCATACCGATCAGGGCAACTCAATTTATATATTCGTTTGTGGGGTGTGCGATAGACTTACCTTCACGTGGTGCACTCTGGGCAATTTATACTCATACGACAAAAAGTCTATTAATCGGCATTTGACTTCAAACTACCAAGACCCCACCGTATTTCATATTCTACTAATTCCACAGTACTCACCTTTTTTTCTACCTTTGTGTCTGTCTGTCTCTTTTACGTCTGTGAATCATTATTCTGTCCCCCTCTCGACTTTTTACCACTTTGTTGTTCCTCTTCCTTTCTGTGAAGCACTAAGTCAACTAAAGGGCTAATGATACCTATCATAACGCCTGTCATTTGAAATAAATACATATATTCGTTTGTACCCGTAAATAAATAGTTTATATGGCCAATAGTTATTCCTCTACAAGAGTACATTTGACACTTGGTCCTTTTATTGCCCCTTAATTTTAGCAAATCTGAAATATTTCCCATGGAGCTAATTTTGTAGGTGAGTAATTTTAAATCAAAATGTACGAAGGTATTTTGTGTGTGGGTTCTAGTCAAGGCACAAAATAAACGGCCAAATGAAATCCCCAGGCTGCTAGATAACTTTCAGTTTACTTTACTACCATAGCAGCAATCTAAACCTTGTGAGTGAAATCACGTGCGTCTTTGTTGGAGTTATCTCGACTGTGATAAGTGAGAGGACGTAATGAGTAGTTGGAAGTGAATTGCCCAATGAAAGATTAATAACTGAGTAGGGAAATGTTGGGTAATCCACTGTAATTGTAGAATGTGGTGTGTTATTCTTTTTCTCGCAAATAAATTATTATTATCTTTTATTCTAGATTTTGGGATAGAGCTCCGAAAACAACCAGCGAGCATTCGCCGGACCGAGGCCGTTATTCAACTCAAACACCTTCAACTGTATCAGTTCCTCTTGCAATGCCCTTAAATGAGAATGGTCGTCGAATTATCTACCGTTTTCTGGAATACAATACTCTTTTAGACTCCTCTGATTGCAACCTCGAAGTGTGGATTAAGCTGGCTTTGGATATTGAACAATTTTACGACCACTTCGATGGCTTTGTAATTCTCCACGGGACAGATACACTGCCCTATGCGGCCTCAGCACTATCTTTCATTCTGGAGAATCTTTCTAAGCCCATTGTCATGACGGGAAGTGAATTGCCTATAGACAGATTGCGAAATGATGGACGCCACAATTTGCTGGGATCGCTGCTTATTGCTGGAGGAGGTTATGATATTCCTGAAGTGACGGTCTTTGTTCAAAATGAGGTGAGGTTTCTGCTCTTCTAGAAAGTTGGAAGTCCCGTTTATTTCACTACCAATCTTAAATCAATCATTAGGAAAGTTCAAAATTGGTAGACTTTAACCTCAATAGTCTTACTAACTAATAGGACCTTGATTTGCGTTAGTGTCAACTAAAAAGGCAGTTAAAACTAATTTCGGTTGTGTACTGATTTATCAAGTGTGTAGCGGACAAGTTATGTATATTGTTTTGTAGACTTGTAGCGGACTGCTACCTTAGTAAAGCCTGACTGACTCAGAAATCTCTGTGGCAGACTCTTCAACATCTAGCTATAGCCCAGCTATGAAGAAAACAGACGTACAGCACGGAACACGTCCATTCAGTAAGTATCCTGTGAGCAAAGCGCACACGCAGGGAGCTACTCATGATCAGGATGGCGGATTAGGTTAAACAAACTGAGGTTAATGATTGGCCACTGTTTGTACGGTCGCTGCACACAGAGTTGTACAGCCGCACTTCCCAATCCTGGCGTGCAGGCATGCGATGACGAACTAAGCGATCACGTGTCTCACTAGTGTTCTTCCTCACATATGAGGAGGCATTGAACTATTTTTTACAGTATTTTTTGTCGGACATTCGATTGCAAGATTGATCTTGTTATATTTATTTGTTTATTAATTAAGGCAATTTTCTATTTCCTACTACATATCGTTATGCATAATTATTTATTCCATCACATTCCGTAGCCACCTTGGTTTTACCTTCACCACGCCAACTAGTCCCCCGTATTTGGTTTATTAAAGTCCAAGCTGTATTTTCCTGTTTTGTGTTGCCACCTGAAATGACTATCTTGCTATCGTCTTTTAACCCTTCCTATCTTGTGGTATTAAACTTGGTAAAACTGAGAATGGCAATGACTTTCTTTTCGACCTCCGTCCTTGTCATTTGAGTAGATCATTCTCTGTTTAATTTGTATTATGGGCATTGATCTTGTGTTGGATGTTACAATTTTAATTTGAATCTAAATTCGATGCACCGATTTTTTGTTGACGTCAACTTCCCCCACCTTTCCACCCAGACACACCCGGCGCTCCTGATCAATGCTCACTCCCTTTTCAAGATCTTTGCGAAAATATTTACTACGTGAACCCGTAATAATAATTTTCAAGTTTTTGAATAGGTTGCTTTTAATTCTGGTGGAATAAAATTGATTTTATTAGTTCAATCGGCACTAATTTCAACAGGGTCTTTTTTTCCTATTTTTTCTTGAAGCGAATTCCATTGAGCTTATTTCGCATTCGTACGATATCTTTCAACGTACAAGATTTCTGTTTAGGTTTAAGAATTCTATGAGATAACACCGTTTTGATTAACCCATTATTTCTTTAATTTTCATACTACCAGTTCATTGTTAATTTTTTTATGATGCCCACATCTACTCTGCAAAGCCTAGTTGTTTATCTCGTTTGGCAATCTAAAACGGACTCACTTATCTTTTTAATCATTAGACATAAAGTTGTATCACGCACGTGCACGTGAGTGAAATTCCTCAAAGACTATTTGAAGCAGCCAAAGTTTATTCAGAAAAATTATGGCGAATTGAGAGTCATTCATTTCGCCGGTGCCTGTTGAGCAAATTACATTAGGAATTGTGGTAATTAGGGCCACAACCTACCTTTAGGAACGAGATACCACATCATTGTAACTTCGTTGAGCCCAATATGTATTGTACGCTTGTTCTGATGTTTCCAGCAATTAAGCGATAAGTAATTAATTAATGCCATAACTATAAGGTTCTCTTATTTCTATTTCAAGATATCAAATCTCGCATTTATGTACTTAGTACTCAGTGGGAGTGTTTTTGAGTACTTACTTTGTTTGAGATGCTGATACTTCACTATTCAGTTGGTTATAAATCAGCGCATAACTACACTTCTTTAGAACCCTAATTATTGACCAACGAGAAAGAGGATCCCGTTCACTAAACTCACTGCAATAATTTTACTTCCCAAGGCCATTTTGACCTCTAATCGTGGGCGTTGGAATAAGCGACCGCACTTCTTCTCACTCCCTGCTTCCTGCGAACCGCAGTTTTCGCAGTTTATCAACAGCACCAGGCTGTCTATACATTCGAGCAGCAATACCTGCCACCATTGTTCGCTTTGTCTATAATTCGGCACGGTAATTGTAGACGTTCGAGCATTAGACAGCTTTCACTAAGAGGGGAATTTATTGGTATAATGAGAACCACAATAGCTTGCTCCTGTTCCTGATTTCGATATAAACTGGTTTATGCCAATTTGGGGGATTTTAAGGGTCAGCACTTTAGTTTCGGATCTTGTATCCCTTCATTCATTTATTTCTATCATTAGCCCTCTAGTTGACTTCGGGCTTCACTGGGAGGAGGAACAGACAAGGTCACGAAAGGTCGAGAGGGGGGGGGATGACAGAAGAGTAATTCACGGATGTAAAAGAGACAGACACGTAGGTGAGAAAAGGTAAGGTGAGTACAGGGAAGGGGTCGAATGCGACTTATTGTCGAGTCATGGTAGCTTGAAGTCAGACGTCAACTGTCGGTTTATAGACATTTTGCATATGGGTAAACGCTACCCAGGGTGCATCACGTGGAGGTAAGTCTATCGCACACGCCTCATTTCCTTTCTGTAAAAAAAATTACTTTAATTGAATTCGCTAATTTTTCCTCAAATATTTTTGTAGAAATTTCTATGCAAAATGTCATTTTTTCTTTCGGTCATAGCAATTATATAGATATGTTGAGGGAGAAATTTGTATATTAAATGCTTTACTGCTTTGAGCTGAATTAGTTTTAAATGCGTGCAAAACTCGAAAAGAAGTTCAAAATAAATTAGGTTTTAATCATGTTGCTACTATCAACACCCATGGTAGTATATATGGCAGACATTACACAATTATATTCAATTTATTGGCAAAGTCAATTGAATACTTGCAACTTACCATTATTGCGACCATCAGGAAATAAGTTTAAATATAACTAGAGACTACTGGGCTGCTCTCTTAACTTAAGTGAGATCTACATGGAAGTAGGTTGGCGAATTTTTCTCCCATTTTCATCCTTCTATTGTCACGCTTTTTTCTGGAGTAACAATGAAAGTCGGGCAACCGGAGGAGGTGGCGTGAGTAGAATGAAGAGACTCAAGTCATTTTAGCAAAAGAAATCCAACTCTTTTCCACCATGGAATCCTACGGAGTGATTGTTAACCTCTTCTAGTGTACTTTTCTTAAGAACTCAGAATTTGATATTAACGCTACATTGGTGAATATGCTTGTATTCTCTAAACTGAGACTAAATAATTTACTCAACTATTACTTCTTATTATTATTTCAAATGGCAGGCTTTATGATATTTATCATTAGCCCTTAAACTTTGACTCCAGCTTTCCCCACGGGTGGGGGTACATATATAGTAGTTAATTAATAACAGTTCATTAGCTGTCTTCTGGCTTTCCGTCGTTGTCTTTAGGGCTGGACAACGAATCAGGTGGGTCTTCTCCATTTCCTCCTGTAGGTTACATAGGGGCATGTGGGTTGAGTGTATATTCCCAATCTGTGAAGGTGATTTGCCAGGCACTCATGTCCTGTACGTTGTCCAAACACAGCAACGGCTTCGATTCTTGGCCAGTCGGTTATGTCGGAGAGTGACACTGTCCACTGCTTCTTCTTTGTCCGAGCTTTAAGTTCGTTGCACATTGAGGTTTTGAATTCTCTCCTAATTAAGGCCTTCTTTGTGTGGAAAGACATCGGCTGGTCTAAGCCTTACAAAATTGTTGTACCCTTCTTAGCAAGTGTGTCAGCAATATCAGTGGCCAGGAATCCATTGTAGGGCCACTGTTTTGTTTTTCTCTCTCAAGAATCTCATTGCCTTTAATGCCACAGTGACCAGGAATCCATGGTAGAACCACTGTTTTGTTTTTCTCTCTCAGCAGCTGATAAATCTCATTGCCTTTAATGCCACAGTGACCAGGAATCGAATCTCATTGCCTTTAATGCCACAGTGACCAGGAATCCATGGTAGAACCACTGTTTTGTTTTTCTCTCTCAGCAGCTGATAAATCTCATTGCCTTTAATGCCACAGTGACCAGGAATCCATTGTAGGACCACTGTTTTGTTTTCTCTCTCAACATTGTAGGGCCACTGTTTTGTTTTTCTCTCTCAGCAGCTTATAGAGTTTTCTACATTCCTTTATCTCAGCTGTTTTGGGTCTCTCTGTTTCTAGGGTTTTCTACATTCCTTTATCTCAGCTGTTTTGGGTGGCTCACTGCTTCCAATTGAGTTTATTGCTGACTATGAGACCGAAAGTTTCACCACTTTGGTTAATTTCGTATCCAGGCAACATTATTGCTATCCTAATGGCCTCTATTTCTCCTTCAAAAGGCGATCTATTGTGTCCCGCTGCTGCGAAGAAAGAGAAGAGTTCAGAATAGACACCTGCACCCACATTTGCTTGGTTTTCCATGTATGACCCATCATTGAAGACTTGGAACCATTGATCTCAACCATTACTAAATTATAACTAATCATATAATTTGGCAAACAGAGCTTGAATAAAACTTTTGCGTTGCAAAGAAAATTCTTTCAACCCTTAATTATTCCACCCTAAAATTTAATCACTAGTGGCCTTTTCATCAGCTTTGCAAAAACTTCTGTCTAGTTTCTTGAATACACAGATTTTCCTTTGTTCAGCTTTCAATAACCTTTACCCACTTATTCTTTAAACAAAAGCATTGGACTATGTTTTCACAGAAAAGCCCTTCAGCTGAAAGCCAGTCTCTATTCCGTAGGCTCCATTTAGGTTCCTCACACAACTTACTGCAGAGGAAGAAGAGGCTGGGATTGGAGGATTTATTCGTTGAAGTTAAGGAAGAAAAAGAAAAGCCCAGCAGAATGCAAAGGTCCGTCGTTGCAGATGGTTGTAGTGAATTAGTTGGAGAGGTGTCAATGTTTAATCTTTAAAGAGAGGATTGACAGATGGATGGATATTCAGGCCATTATGGGAGAAAGGTACTCACCAACATGCATTCAGGTTCTACAAAAGTGATTCCACTTCTCGATTTAAGCGTGCACAATAGTTTCACTGAGATACTCTAAGGTCTGAAGAGAGCGTATGCTAACATATCTTCGTGGTTAAAGATGCGAACTACTCTAAGCAGTAGGTCATTTTGAGATCCAAATGTGAGAGAAAATCAGCAACTGATCATTAAAATTGATGCAAACGAATTGTGCAACAACATAGACAGCGCTTGTCTTTAGTTGAGTCACTGTAAACAGTCAACGTCCAACCTTTTCTAACTCGTTCGTCTTGCTTCCACAAAACACTTCTATTTGAAGCCCGAATCAATCAACGCCGGAACACATGAACATATATATAACTGTCTATGCTTGTTGTGTGCTGACTCTACTTGAAATAAAGTCCCATAAGAATGTTACTTATAGTACTAATTTATGATTAATATAAGGGTATTTGGTTGTGTATTAAACAAAGGAGTTATTCCTACTCCACACTACGCTTTTGATTTCAGTTTACAATTTGGAAATGGGTATTTGATGATTTCACAAAGTTAAGAGTTCCGAATAGCCTTTTCCTAATTTTACAGCTCTACCGCGGAAATCGAATAGTTAAAATGGCTACCACCGATCTTGTGGCATTCACCTCCCCGAATTCGAAACCTCTAGCAGAGATGAAGGAGGTGGTCAACGTTTATGAAGATCGTATCTTCCGTCGAACTAAGCACAACTCGAAGAAGTTAACTATTCAAACAAACCTCTGCCCCGATGTCGCCATTCTTCGTCTCTTCCCGTCAATTTCTGTTGAAGCAGTGAGGAGCTTTTTCAAACCACCAATGAAGGGTAAGCTGCATGTAGTCTGATAGCCTTTTAGTAATGGCGAACATTCTTTAGTGCATACTCATCATACCAATGGATCATTGAATACCTTGAATTTCATGATGAGAGAAAGGGAAGTTGGTGGTTGGGATCGTTGAGATTTGAGTTAATTACCTGGCTTAACTGAGGGAAAATTCGTTGATAGTTCCTTGATATTTTCATACATAGGTTTAGTTTATCTCCTTTGCTTTTAGAAAGAGGATAAGTTCAGGTCTTAATATGCCAAACAGTGAAGATGGAAGTTGGATTGGTGCTTTAACTTATCCTTGGATTTGAAAGACCTAAATAGGAGCCAATATAGTCACTGAGGTCTACTCATCATACACCACAGTGGTCTCTCCTTCCACCTCTGAGAAAATGGGTGGCGCCGCATTTCACGGTTATAGCGCGCGCGCTTATCACCGAAATAGGGTTTTATAGCATTAACATTCCAGAAATATGAGCTCTCAATAAGAAAAGGGTGCTTTCATCTATTATTAACGTGATTTTTCGCCTTTAATCATGTATGCCTTTTTACTGACGGTGTGTAACAGGGCTCACACCCTTAAGACACCCTCACTAAAATTTTTTCATTTACTCTCATTGTTGACGTCTCAGAGTATGTACTATATATAAGGGAAAGAGTGCATTTGGGGCCGTTTTACGAATTGTTGACTGAGAACTTAATGTTTTTTTTAAATAGCGTATGCAAATTTAAAAGGAAAAAAGGGAATTTTAAATACGATAGTACCGGGGTTTTCCTAAAATCCGCCCAGGGCGGTTAAACGGAAAATTCCGTTTCATAAAACTACTTGTTGGAACCAAATAATCACCCACTCGAATAAGCGCCCGTGGGGGATAATACAGAAGTAAAATATTTCACCTAAGAAGATCATATTTGCTTTGAGCAAAACGTGGATCGCGGAGCAAAGGGCTAAGCGCGTGGAAATGACTCATCCCTTGCGAGGAGAGTCAAGCTTCCAACCCGCACATCACCAAGTTAATCAGCCCGCCTGTTTACTACTTAATGGATATAGTTCAGTGGGTTGACGGCTAATTGCTGG